AGGGCCATTCAGTTTGGAGTAAGAGACCAACGAGCAAAAAAATGCACCACCAAAGATTGCCACGAGCCATGGCTTCAGATAAGTGAGCCATAGCCACATCACTGCCAAAAACCAACACTCGCATTCTCGAAATTTAAACCAATAACCAACAAAATAACAACCACCATATTTTAAAAAATAACTCATATCGGCTCCCAACCAAAGCAACAACCCAAAGGAGAAACTCCAACGAAAATCATCTCCTACCCCTATCACGTCTACCCCTCCCACGAGTGGAAACCGGCATAACAGGTCGTTCATGCTGCACAACAAATTCATCCACAGGTTCTTCATCTTCACTAGCCTCCGAAGATGAATCAGAAGAACAATGAATCCAATCAATTTGCAATCTCACACTCTTCCCTGAATTGGCACCCACTTAAGAAACCAATTCGTCTGGTGAAATTAATTTAACAGGAACATCAACAAAAGGTCCAGGAACAGGAACAGTAGGCGTTGAAGCAGGAGAAATGAATGACCCAGAATACACCATCTCCACACTAGGTGAAACAACCTCAGCCAAAATACACAGAGCAGACACAGTACCCCCACGAGACAAAGGAGTTGTAGAGATAACACCACTCACTTCACTAGCACATTTACGAGAAGCCAAGACAAATCTAGAATCCGGCAAATGAGACATAACCACAGGAGAACCAACACCCACCACCTTACCAGACTTCAACAATTCCCCATAATGAGCAGGGTAAAGAATAGAAATAGGACCGCCCACAACACTGACAAAAGAATTGGTGGGAAAAACAACACCAGCGTCCAAACTGACCAAAACAGGGGAAACATGAGATACGCCAACAACCATATTTAACAACTGCTCCATAGGCACGGAAACAATAAATTCATCCTGAATAGGCACAGACGGACCATAATCATAAACTAAACCAACATTAGCATTTTTCACTGCTAAACCACCATTATCAATAATCAACACTACAGGAGCCTTATGGGGCAAGGAAACTGGTAAATCGCTAATCACAGTAAGAGGAGCCACCTTAGCGATAGGAGGAACAACCACACGATTAGACTGGGGATGAAGAAGAGGGCATTCAAGCTTTGAGTGACCCAGAGATTTACAGTGAGAGTAGTAGGAAGGAAAGGGGTCCATAACGACCGATTGTATATAGCCTAAGCTCTCGGAGCCAGTTCCACCAGCACTCGAGCAACCGACGGCCGTCTTCCAAAGGAAGTGGCCTGATCAATTTTAAGAGGTTTACCAAACATGAAACCGATCCCCTGTAAAATCCTCAGGGCAAAGAGGTGCGGTTGGAGACTAGGAAAAGAAACTCAAATTGGGATAGAAGGAGATTCAACATCAACATCAATGGTAGGGGACAATTTGAAAATATTCATGAAACAATTGTTCACAAAATTGGAATGATGGGAAAAAACGCGCCAGTAATCCATGTCATTCTCAAACTTGATAAGAACATGCTTAAGGTTAAAGACAGTAACCGAGAAAATCCCATTGAATTTGAGATTGAAAAAAAAAGTTTGGATACACAATTTTAAAAGAAATCCATAAATACTTAGAATTTGGACTGATAGATCACTTCAAATCGAACAATTATTACGTCCTCCGACCGGATGCAGAGGAACATCCGGTCGTAGGCAAAATCCCGCCTATACCGAGGTGTATCGAGTTTTTTTTGAAAAAACTCGGTACACCTCGGTATAGGCGGGATTTCACCTACGATCGGATGTTCTTCTGCATCCTTACACTGGACCAAATAAAATTTCCTTCAAATCAGTATAAATTTCACATGCAAACAGCTTTCACAAAAGCGGAATAGAAATTT